GGTTTGACTCGACGGCACATAACAACAACAACAACATCCCCATAACATTGTTACCAGAATTAAAGTGGTCCAGTAGTATAGCAGGGCTCATATAAAGTCCTTTAGATAGTGTCTAGTACATAGTAAATGTTCAGTAAATGTTAATTATTATTATTAAAGTTACTGTAAAACCTTACTTTAAAATTACATGCTACCAAGCATTACTATCCAAATCAAGCTACCAATGTTATACAAATATTCACATGGGCTTGACAGCTGAAACTTAAGCAATGCTAAGTGTTCTTCAATAATTTAATTTAGCAAATATTTAGTTAGCACCTATGAGTTCTCTGTGGTAGAATTTCTAGAGGTTCAAAAGTGAATAGTACATTTTGCGTTATCAGCGAAAGCAAACATGGGTATATGGGTGGATAGATGGGTGGACAAGCTGAACTATTAAGTATGTCTATGCAGTGGGGAGTGTACCCAAGACCATGTATAGGGTTGGCAGACAATGGTCCTATAAGTGTATTTGTATGTTCTGTAAGAATTTCCAGGTGTATAGTAGAGCTGACAAGGGACAAGGTTGTAGTCACTTCTGGGTCACAGCCAGCTACCCAGAGGGACCACATAGTTGAACCTCTGGGCTCAGGACCATAGTCACAGGGGACATCAAGCTCAACTAGCAGAACATACTACACAAAACATTGTTCCACCTCCTACTTTGGTGAGTAGCAACTGGGATCTTAAAAGCTTGCAAGCAGCCATCTAGATGCAACGATGGGTCTCTCCTTGTCCAGAGCAAAGAATGAAGAAAACCAAAGATTCATGGAAACAATTAGTCCTAGTGACTGGTACACCATGTGATCCTCAGCCTAATATGACTATGAGACCATAAGAACTAGATGGTGCCTAGCTACCACTGTCAACCACTTGGAGGGGATCTATGTAGGAGATCCTTGATAGAGAGAGAGAACAATATGAAACAAAACTCACAAACATTTGGAAAAAGAAAAAGAGGAGAGGACCAGATTTGCTGGTCTGATAGAGCCTGGTGGAACCACTGAGACTATGGTCCCTAGCTGCCCTTCAGGTCTGGAATTGAACCCACACCTATGGCTTCCAGACAAAACAAAAAACAGGGATATGAGTTAAACATTTACCTGAGGTAGATACACTCCTTGGAGAGAACAATCATGGGAGAAAGAAGGGCTGTTTATGCACAGGGAGATAGCTCAGGGGGCAGGAGTGCATGGAGGGATGGACACAGTGAAGAGGTAACTATGGGAAGGAAGTGGGAGGGGAGCTGTTGCATTGAGGTAAATTGTAGTTAATGTCATGAGGCAAAATGTACATGAACTGCTGTATGGAAAGTGAATTTGATCGTAAACTTTCATTCAAATCACAATATATACATATATATTTTTAAAAAATGAATAGTACATTTCTCTGACTTCAAGAAACTGAACAGTCTAGTATAGGTTTATGTACTGCTTTAGACTTTAAAAGTGGTTTACGATAAGTGCACCAACACATCATACTAAAACATTTCTTCTCAATACTGTTTTATCTCCAAGGTCAAGTCAGATTTAAAGTATAAAATAAGGGCCCATTGATACTGAATTTTCTAACCAACTAAAATAGATACAATAAATTTAAAACAAAAAAAATTAATTTTGTGATAACTTCTGACAAGAGCCACTCCTTTTCCTGCTCAAAATGTGGCACTAAGGATACTAGGACCAGAGGTATTTTTTTGATACTCAACTCACAATGGACTTAGTATTTGCTGAATGAATAACCAATGATCTTGTGAGGCTCTAAAAAAAAATCACATTGAAAACGACTGAAAACTGCCTACCATGTGATCTTAGAAGCTGATAACATACTTCATTATTATGGAAAATACTGAGTCTTTACAAAAAGCTTTAACAGTCTTCACAAAGACTGGGAGTGATCTCTCTTAGTTCTTATTTCCAATGTAAAAATGCATACTTATTCCCTAGCAGTGTAGTGCTAAGGTATAGCAACTCACTGCCATTAAGTTGATTCCGACTCACAGAAAACCCTCCTTGGGTTTCCGAGGTGGTATCTCTATGGACGTAGACTGCCCAGTCTTCCTTCCAAGGAGAGGTTGGTGGGTTTGGACTGACAGCCTTCTGTTTAGCAGTAAAATGCCTTAGGTACTACGCCACCAGAGCTCCTACTTAATTTTAATTGTACACACAAATCTGGATAGAAGTTTTGTAAGTTATGCTTAGGACTCTGTATTTCCTTGCTTCTGATGTACTCATAAAAAGACAGCTGAAGACAGAGTTCAAGAAATTAAAAAACATAAGAACTCTATTTAAAAATTCATGGATATTAGCTAAAATATTGGAAAATATTACTTACGTTGGTCCAGTAATACATACTGCATGTGTCTTACTTACCCCATTAAGGTCTGTTTCAGATATTTTGCTAAATATTTCCATGCAGTTATATTCTTAGTGCAGCCAGCAAAATCTAAGACTGCAAATAATACCTCCAGGCCCAGTTTACGGTGTTCTTCTTTTTCTGCAATCATCAAACCAGCTCAAGTTTATATACTTTGTGAAGTACACAAAGCTAAACAATTTACATAAAACTGATAAAAATATTACTGAGTCATAAGTCTTTGGCTTAGTTAACAGTTTAAACAACTCATTATTCTCATATTCTCCAGTGATGAATCTGAATATTTCAAAATTTGGTCCATGCTAATAAGGCCAGGGTGGGAGTCTGATCCCTTCATGGGTTGTACTCCTCCATTTGTATACTACTGAGAACATTATTTAAAATAGCTGCATTATTTTTCCATGTTATATATATATTCTCTTATTGCAGTGTAGTAAATTACCATAGTCTTAATAACTCCCACTTTGCCATGAGCAACTGAGTAGCTGATTGTTAAAGTTATCCACCTGGTGTATTTCTGTTGGAACAGAATGAAGCAATCTTCTGGGAAGTTTGCTCTCTCTCAGGTGTGTACAACTCTGATGTTGGGATAGGTTGGTTTTGCCACTCTGCCAGGCTCAAAATGAGCCCTCTCAGGGGCAAGAGGAATCTATCTGATTGCCATCTGAGAAAGATGTGCTGCTGAGAGAGACACACTGCTGAGAGAGACACAATGCTGAGAGATGCACTGCTGAGAGACATGTGCTGCTCAAAGACACACGCTGCTGAGAGAGATCTGAGAGAGATGTATTGCTGAGAGGGAGACGTGGGAGAGAACCACTGCTGAGAGGAAGGCGTGCTATTGAGAGAGACTGAGAGAGATGGCTGGCTGAAAGAGACAGCTGGCTGAGAGACTGAGCAAGTTCCTGAACTTGAATTGTAGCCTGTTGCTTTCTTAATAAACTCCATAATCTGTGAGTTCTGTGTGGCCACTACAGTGAATTATCAAACCCACCAGAGAGGTGGTGCGTGCCATAGGAGGGATGGCTGATGTCAAGGTTAGTAAGAGGCCGGGAGGGTGGCAGCATGTCTGGCCTCATAAGAAAGGCCCTGGGCTGCTGATGGTGATTCTGTCTTCCTCCTGTGGAGTTAGGGAAGGTCAGAAGATGCTGCCGTGTTGCCCCTTTAGCAGTTGGTGTCAGAAGTGGTGGGATCCATTGCAGTGGGTTCCTGACTCATAGAAGCATGGGATTTTGTAAAAGAAAGAAGGAAGGGGACTGGGAAGTGAAACTTTGGATTCTTAGATGGTTACTTTGGTTGGTGTTACCTATTAAAGGAGATAATTGATCCAGAGGCTAGGGCTTTTGGTTACACCTAGCCAAAGGCCCAAGGCCATACACATACAAGGGAAAGATAATATATGTGAACATATGAAACTAGAATGTCTTAAAAAGGATTATGTGTTTTGGATTTTGTGTTTATCTGAATGTACTATGGACACTGAATGTTTTCTCACCTACTTGGACCTTAGAAATGATTAAGGGGTATGGATAACAGAGAGCATATAAGTCCACCTTCAGCCAGTATTTGATTGGATATGTTAAAAGGGGAAACCGAATTTTCCCAGAAGAAACAGAGGCTTCTCTTTCAAACCCTGTGTTTAGAATATAGGGGGCTTAAGTAGAAAACCTGAGCCCCACCCAGAACCCAATGAGTGAGGAAATCTGCATTTGAAAAGATCCACCTAGAATTACTGGGAGAACATAAGATTTGCATTTGAAGAAAGGACCTGAAGAGAAAAAAAATTACTGTTTGGCTTTGGAATTTCAGGAGCAAGAAGTTATGCATGAAGGCAGGAAAGTCAGGGTCTGTGAGACAAACCCCTTCCAGGACTAGAAGTTATAGGAAGCTAGAGAGTAGATGGCCTTGTATGCTGCTTGCTTGTGACCACCTGGCTCCACCTGAGTGGAAGTGGGGGAAGTGCAGTATTGAAGAAACGGGCTGAGTTTTGTACTCTTACCTAGGTCACAGAGGCTAGGGGTGAGAGGAAGGGGTGGCTGGTCTTAAGTGCAAGCAGTTGACAGCCTACAGGCATTGAAATAGTCCCTAAGGACTGAGAATGACAGAAAAGGTGCTGGCTGGTCTAAAGTGAAAGGAAGACCCCAAACTTGGAAGCTGGAACCCATGACCTAGCTGGGATGGTTAGGGCTGAGCTGACCAGAACCCGACCAAATGAAGAAGAAGATGTTTGACACTGAACTGGTGTTAAGTTGCTGCAATTTGATGATTTGTGCTGGGCTGGACTTTGCTTGTTTACAAAAACAAATGCAACATGCTGCCCTCAAGTTGGATCCGACTCAAAGCAACCCCTCCTTGGGTTTCCGAGGTGGTATCACTATGGAAGTAGATTGCCCAACCTTTCTTCCAAGGAGTGGCTGGTAGGTTTGAATCACCAGCCTTCTGGGTAGCAGTTAAATGCCTTAGTCACTAGTTTCCAAGCAGAAACAGAAGATTCTCCAGAGAGAAAAGAACATGCTCAGAATATTGGTTTGACAAGGATGGGCAAATTAGAAATTGGCTATGTAAAATGGGGGAAGATATAAGCATGAAGTGGCTGGTTTATACACTTTCATGGGTGTTATGGGTTATCCTCAAACTGATGGTGAACCGAAACCAAAACTCACTGCCTTCAAATTGATTCTCACAAACTGATGGTGAAGGGGTTGTTAATTTTTGAAGTATAAAAGGGATAATGGCTAGAAAACCCAGGGGGTAGCCTGAGGTGTAGTAAATTACATGGTATGGCTTTTCTAGCTACAGTCTTTGTAACTCCCACTTTGCAGTGAGCAACTGAGTAACTGATTATTAGTTATCCACCAGGTATATTTCTGTTGGAGCAGTACAAAGCAATCATCTGGGAAGTTTGCTCTCTCCCAGGTGTGTAGAACTCTGATGTTGAGATTGGTTGGTTTTGTCACTCTGCCAGGCTTAAAATGAGCCCTCCTAGGAGCAGGAGGAATCTCTCTGATTGCCGCTGAGAGAAATGGGCTGCTGAGAAAGACACGCTGCTGAGAGAGATGCGCTGCTGACACACGAGAGACATGCTACTGAGAGACACAAGAAAGACATGCTGCTGAGAGAGAGCTGCAAGAGAGAAGCACTATTGAGAAAGAGACATGAGAGAGACACACTGCTGAAAGAGACACAAAGAGAGAAGCACTGCTGAGAGAGACGTGAGAGAGATGGCTGGCTGAGAGAGACTGAGCGTGTTTCTGAACCTGAATTGTAGCCTGTTGCTTCCTTAATAAACTCCATAATCTGTGAGTTCTGTGTGACCACTGCACCAAATTATCGAATCCAGCAGAGAGGTAGGTGGGTGCCATGGTGGGGAGGAAAGTTGGTGTCAAGGTTAGTAAGAGAGATGGAGGGTGGTGGCATGTTGGCCTCATAAGGACAGGTCTTGGGCTGCTGATGGTGATTCTGTCTTCCTCTTGTGGAGCTAGGGGATATCAGAAGATGCCACCTCCTTGTCCCTTTAGCACTTACATTATGAGAAGGATGCAGTTGAGCTTACTGAGTTGCTTTTCTACATGAAGGAGTATGTTCTTCTCTATGCTAAGCTGAAGCCCTCAAAAACTCAAGCCTAGTAGGGATTAAAATGAAGTGAATTATATAAATTAAACTCTTTTCTCTTTTGCTAACCATTGCCTAATATTTTACAGCAGGGGTGAGCAAACTTTTTCAGTAAAGATCAGAGAGTAAATATTTTGGACATTGTGGTCCAATTTAACAAGTACTCAGATTTGCCTTTGCAGTCAGAAAGCAGCCACAGACAATATATACACAAATAGGCATGGCTGTGTTCCAACAGAACTTTATTTGTAACTCCAGGAGGGGGTGGATCTGACCTACTGGTTATAGACAGCCAATCCCTGTTCTATAACTTGTCTGAACAAAGAGGTATATAACAAAATTTACCTGAATTTCTAAGTATTCTATGGAATTCTAACATCAGTTTATGAGATGGTACAATCTGATACAAAATCTGAAAGACAGAATAATTTTGTCATTTTTACATCTCTCAGGGTATTTCAAATTTCAGCTTGCTTTCAAAGGAAGCTCTTTTCTAATATGCATTCAGTAAATAAACCAATGATTTAGAAGATAATTTGCTTTTATATACTTTTGATTTGGGTACAGAAAGCTGTTCTTTGTAAAGCTTAAAAAAATTCTAATAACAAGATCATCAGTAGAACTAGAGGAAAGAGATAGAGATACATGGGGACCACATATACTTCTATACTGTCTACCCCACTTAAAAACTAACTTATTTTTAGAAGACTGAGGAAAAGGGGTAAAAAAAAATCATTATCATGTAGAAAAAAAAAAGAGATTTTGTATTTACCAATTAGAGAAGCTATAGAATATTTATGTAAAACAAAAAGCCCAATATGGCTGCTGCTGTTGTTGTTACGTGCCATTGAGTCAGATCCGACTCATAGCGACCCCTCCTTGGGTTGCCGAGGCAGTATCACTACAGAAGTAGATTGCTCAACCTTCCTTCTGAGGAGTGGCTGGTGGGTTTGAACTGCCAGCCTTCTGGTTAGCAGTCAAGTGCCTTAGGCACTGTGCCACCAGAGCTCCCAATATGGCAGAGGTGGCTATTTTGGAAGACTGTATTGAGGAACACAGACATTAAGTGTATTTGAATAAAGAATTTAACAACCTTTTTATACAGAGAGAAAAATTCAAAGTTTTTTCTCCTTAGGAAGAACCAAACCAAAAAACCAAACCCACTGCTGTCAAGTCAATAGCGACCTTACAGGGCAGGAGAGAACTACCCCATAGAGTTTCCAAGGCTGTAAATCTTTATGGAAGCAGAATGACACATCTTTCTCCCACGAAGTGGTTGGTGGGTTCAAATCGCCTGGTAGGTTCAAACTGCAGACCTTTCAGGTAGCAATTGACTGCTTAACCACTGTACCACCAGGACTCCAACCCTTAGGAAGAGGATGGATAATTCTTACAAGAATGAAAAAATAAAAATTTAAAATAAAACTACATTTCTCATACAAACACATTTTACATTAGAAATGAATTAATTCTGGTTGCTTACTGAGGTAGACTTCACACAGAGGCAAAGTCCAACTTAATAAAAGCAAATATTGTTAATTCCTCTTCTTAAAAGTTTTTTAAAAATAAGGTCATTTGAAAAGAAACTCTATCAACATCAATATACCAGTATCTGAAAGTATTATTAAAACTCAGCCATATAAAAGTCACAATGCTCCCATAATTTATGGATTTTGTATATGGCTCAAAGCATTTAGATTTTTAAAAAACATTTTACTAAAATATACATAAGAAATATATATAAATAATGAAAGTACTATTAACTAATTTTCATAAAGTAAGCATATCCAGGTAATCAGCATGAAGATCAAAAAAAAGGAACATTAATAAAACTCTAGAAAGCTTTCATCAGTTTTGAAAAATTTTCATTTCAAATATTGCCATTAACTCTTCAAATATATATACATATATCTAGTAACCAGAGGGCTGGTGGTTCAAACCCACCAGCCACTCCTCGGAAGGAAGGTTGGGCATTCTACTTCCGTAGTGATACTGCCTCGGAAGCCCAAGGAGGGGTCAGTATGAGTCGGGGCTGACTTGACGGCACATAACAACAACAACAGTACACATACATACACACACACTCCTCCCCCTTTGTTCTCTCCTCTCCTTCTAGAACTCCCAATTATAAGTATGTAGGATCTTTTCACCAAATCCCTTATCACACTTTTCTATATTTTTCATCTTTTTTTTTTTTACTCTTTGTGCTTTAGTCTGATATTTTCTGTATAGTGTACTAATCTCTTATACTATGTCCAATTGCTATTAAACACATCTATTGAATTCTTCGGGAGCTCTGGTAATGTAGTGCCTAAGACATCTGACTGCTAACCAGAAGGCTGGCGTTCAAACCCATCAGCTACTCCTCGGAAGGAAGATGGGGCAGTTTACTTCCGTAGTGATACTGCCTTGGAAACCCAAGGCGGGGTCGCTATGAGTCGGGTCTGACTTGATGGCACATAATAACACAACAACAACAACAATGAATTCTTCATTTCAAATATTGCCTTTTTTAAAAAGAAAGAACAATTCTTCTAAATCCATCATGTCCTGAACATAAATAAGTGCTCAACATAGTTACTGTCTCTAACTTATTTTTTTTAACTATAGCTCTTGTCACTCGTTCAACATCTGCATGCAGGAAGAAATGAGGGGGGTTAACTGTAAACCAGAAAAGTAAATTCACACCTAGAATGTTAGGGCTTCTCTTTCATACACAGGCTGAAGTCAAAATACCTACTCTTCTTCCTGACATTATCTTTTCTTTTTTAAAAGAGCTTTATTGAAATATGATTCATAAATCATACAATTTACTCATTTAAAGTATACAATTCAATAATTTTTACTATATTAACAGATATATGCAAACATCACCAGTCATTTTAAGAAATTTTCATTATCCCAGAAAGAAATATAGTACTTTTTGACTACTGTCCTCCATTTCCCCACTCCCTATCTATAAACCCCCAAAAAATACACACTTTGCTGCCAAGTAGATTACAACTCACAGAGACCTTACACACAACAAGGTAGACATGTCCCAAAGAATTTCCAACACTGTAATCTTTACAGAAGCAGACTGTCACGTTTTTCTGGCCGACCTTTCAGTTAGTAGCCAAGACTTAACCACTGTGCCACCAGGGCTCCTTTAAAGCAATGACTAATCTATTTTCTGTATTCTGAATTTTCTTACGAATATCATCACACAATATGTAGTCTTTTGTGACTGACTTTACCAAGCTTATTTTTCAAGGTTCATCCATGTTGTAGCACATTTCAGTACTTCATTTTTTTTTTTTTTTTTGGTCAGATAGTATTCCATTGTATAGATATATCACCATTTGTTTATCCATTTATCAGCTGATGGACATTAAAGTTGTTTACACCTTTTGGCTATTATGCTAGAAACATCTGTGTAAGAGTTTTTTGTATGTACATATGTTTTATTTCTCTTGGGTACATATGCAGAACTGCTAGATCTTATGGCACCTCTGTGCTTAATTGAGGAATTGCCAGATTGTTTTCAAAGCAATTTACTATTTTCCATTCTATCAGAAGTGTATTAAAAAAAAAAAAAAGAAAAAGAAAAACCAAATACATTGCCGACAATTCCAACTCATGACAATCCATGTATTACACAGTAGAAAATGAAAGGCGTTTTGACTGTAATATCTACTAATGAAGACCGCCAGGCCCTTCTTCCACAGCACTGCTTTGTGGGTCCAAACTGCCTACCTTTTAGTAGGTAAGAGCAAGCAATGGGATTTTAGCAGTGTATGAGAGTTCTAATTTCCCCACATCCTTGCCAACATTTGTTATTATCTGTCTTTTCATTCTAGCTATGCTAGTTGGTATGAAGTGGTATCTCATTGTGATGTGATTTGCATTTCCCTAATAACTAATGATCTTTTAATGCACATATAATGGCCATCTGCATACCTTTCTTAGAAAAATGTCTATTCGGATCTTTTGCCCATTTAAAAAACTGTCTTTTTATTACTGAGTTGTAAGAGTTCTTTATATATTCTAGGTATGAATCCCTTATCAAACATACGATTTGCAAATATTTTCTCCCATTCTATGGGATGTCTTCTTACTTTCACATAATGGTGTCATTTGAAACACAGAGGTTTATCATTTTGATGAAATCCAGTTGTGTAGGATAAAAAATTCAATTTGGCCTTTTGTCTCTAGTTCCTGAAAATAACCCTTAGAATGTACCAGCAATCAAGGTATCTATGTTTTTTAAAATAGCCAGGCAACTCTTAAATATGTACAAATGTAGTGGAAGCCCCCAAAACCAGACATATTCATCATATTCATTAATTAGATTGATCATGCATATGCAATGAGACACCAGTCATATATTTGCATTGAGGCCTTAAGGAGTATATAAAGGACTATGGACTGTGAAGCTTCTGGATTAATGATAAACATATGAAGACCTGTATGTTTCTGGGGATGTGAAATTTCATGAGGAAAACTCCTCCCAGACCTCACCTCTACATCTCTTTGTATATATGCTTCAAATATATGTGGTTATATTGAAAAGGTTAAATGAGTGTTGCCTCTTCTGTAAGTTCTATGAGGCATTCTATTGAATTACTGAACCTACTAGGGACTGTGAGGGCCAGTAGGGCCTGGCATCTGCCTATCTGGCAGTTGATTAGAATGAAATAGTCTTTCTAACTTGTGAGGACCCAACTTTTTTTTTTTTTTTTTTTCCTTTTAATTGTGATTTGGGTGAAGATTTACAGAGCAAATTCACTTTCCATACAGCAGTTGAGGACCCAACTTTTGAGTCCCTTTTCATGGACTGGTTGCTCATAGCAGATCTTATCATGGAGGTTATTATATTATGGGAGATGATTTATCATAACTGCCAATCACTAAGAAGCAAGGCCCAGCCAAGATGACAAACAACATTAACCATCACACTTTCCATTTTGAGAATCAGCCTTATGTAGATTATCATTAACGGACCATTGTATCTGTTTTTTTCTTTGGTTATTCATGCTTTTTGTCTCAAAATTAAGAACCATTGCCAAATCCAAGATCATGAAGGTTTATCCTTATGTTTTCTTCCAAGATTTTTATAGCTTTAGCTGTTTCTTACAACATTTTTAAATCTTTTAAAAAACACTATTAATGATTGAAAACCTGTGAAGGTATCACCTTGCTTTTGTTGTTAACTATCCGTAATATTTTGTTATAAATGGATCAAAAGGATATTTTGAAGAGTAAAATTTAAATAGCAACTTTAAAAGTAGTATACTTAGCATTTGACTACTGACCAGAAAGCTGGCGGTTCAAACCCACCAGACACTTCTTGGAAGGAAGATGGGGGAATCTACTTCCATGGTAATGCTGTTGTTGTTGTTGTTATGTGCCATTGAGTCGGACCCAACTCAT